TCCAGCACTTTTGTCTCCTTTGGGGGTGGGAGGAAGCAGTGCTGGAGATGAACCCAGAGCCTTGTGAAATCTTAGAAAGTATTGTACCTCTGGGCTGCACCCCCAACCCATCATATTCTTTACTATTTTTAAAGATTTTTTTTTTTTTTATTTTTTGGGAGACAGTCTCTCTCTAGTAGCACAGGCTGGCTTTGAACTCACTTTGTAACCTAGGCTGGCCTCAAAATCACAGTGATCTTCATGCCTCAGCCTCCCTCATTATTATTTCTTTTCCTTTCTGTCCTGTGAAAAGGACACACCTAAACCTAAAACTTTTATATGTATGATACTCGGTTTGAGCTAGGGTCTACACACTGAACTACTTCCCCTGCCATTTGTATATGTATGTATGTATGTATGTATATATTTGAGATAGGGCCTCAATATATAGTTCAAGCTGGCCTGAATTCACTATGGAGCCCAGACTGGCCTTGAATTCACCATGATCCTCCTGCTTCCACCTCTGGGTGCTGAGATTATAGGCATGCGCCACCATGCCTGGCTGTTATTTATGTATTTTTTGAGATAGGGTCTCTAAATTATCCAGACAGGATTTGAAAGTGTGATCTTGCTTCAGCCTCCCAGAGTGCTGGGATTACAGGCATGTACTACCACACCCAGCTAGTGTGATTTTAATATTGCTGCTAGAGCAAGTTTGTTGCTCTGGACTCTCCATACTGCCAAAAGATCCGAAAGAGGAGGTCTCTGCCTGCCAGGACAATTCTCCAGCTTGCAATACAGAGATTTTGATATTTTGAAAAAGCTCTACTTATCAAAATAAGAATCTTGGCTTCACTCCAGTAGTGAGGCTAACATTACAGAAACATACATACTGCTTAATATTTTGGCTGTAAAACATGATGTGTTTCCAGCGGACTTTGGGCAAGCTGCAATTCAGAGTAGACTAGAAAATTAGCAGGGTTTATTGTACTGTTTTTTTTTTTTTTAAATTTAAGAGTGGCTTTCTTTTATTTTGAATTATGAAGGCACAATGGAATAAGATACTTTATGACAATACTGCAATTGGTAATGAAATTTAAGCATACATGAGTATCGAGCTCATTTTGGTACCAATTATTTGAAATAAAAGTGACAAAAGCTACCTAAAAAAGTAATTATGGGTAAAGAATGAAATCTGCTTTCTTTAGGAGGTTAACTCCTGATTATATTCATTTTAGAGAAATATTTATAAATTGGCATTTTAAAGGGAAATATATAGGAGTCAGTTGTAAGAGCAGTCCACTAAGCATGAAGTTAGTCGGATTTCCAGTGTATGTTCTAACTGCATTACCTGTGCCTTAGGTGTGTTACTGTTTATTGCTTCACAGTTGACATTTAAAAGTACTTGATAATTTGGTTAATTATTGGTAGTGTACCTTAAAAAGGCCGGCAGTGTGAAGTGGGCCATGATTTTTCACTGCTGCTAGAGTTGACCTGCTCTTGTTTCTTGGCGTGACCCGCCTTCATGGGTTGACCCCAGTGGCCTGCTAGGAAGTGGTGTCATTTCAATTGGCTGCGTTCTTGTGAAGCTCAATAAAACAAAGTCTTAGCTCACTGTGCTGAAAACTTGTTTCTACCTCAAAGGACAGGACGTTCATTTCTGTCAGATTGGATTTTTAAAACCATGCCAGCCTGAACACTTATGTATGTTTGCTTTAGCACCTCTTGCTTCATAAGACACACCAAAAAATTGAAAAGAGTTGGTGAACCCCTTTGGCAAGCAATAGAACCAGATTCTGAGGACAAGCCAGCAAGTGATCACGAGACTCACATGGGAAGGACTGACTTTATTTTTTTGCCCTCTGTTTTGGGTATCTCCTGTTTCACAAATTTCTGCACTAACAGCGTGCTGACAGAGGTCCTTCTCTAATTGCATGGTTACGGTTTTAAGGGTCGTGGTAATAATAGTGGCAGTCTTTTAATCTGTGCACTCCCTGCGTGCCAGGCTTTGTGTTACTCACTGGGCTCCTTTAATCTCTGGGGGAGCCTGTCTGCTGGGTGTGATGATGACTGCTGCCCTTGGAGGATGAAGAAGCAGGAGCCGAGCCAGCGTGTTACACTGCTGGGATGGGCAGTGATGCGTCAAGTTGTGACCGCAGCTTGGTACTAGAGGTTCATTTTTCATATTTGCTTTCAAAAGCCAGAACATTAAAATGAAGGGAGTACAGACTTTAAAAAACACTATAAATTTACTTTTTGTATAGTTTCATGATGAAAATCAAGACTGCTTGCATGTTTTAAAATGATGCATTTTAAGTCACTTGCCCTCCTCCCTGTCATCCTCCCTGTCATCCTCCCTGTCATCCTCCCTCTTATCCTCCCTCTTTCCCTCCTTCCCTCCCTCCCTCCCTCCCTCCCTTCCTGCCTGCCTGCCTGCCTGCCTGCCTGCCTGCCTGGGGAACATTCCAGCCACACTGAAAAACCACCTCATAGACTTCTAGGGTTTTAGTTTCCAGAGCAGCATCTCAGAATCTCCTCGGATCCAGTGATATTGGGCTTTAAAGATCCCAGGGCCCAGGGATCGCAAGTGCATGGTTTCCATGTCTACATAGCTTTTCAAGGACTTATTACAGTGTGTCTGCCTTGGGCTGCTGTGTCATTGCTGACAATTAGCATTATGAGATTGGAACTGGAACTTGAAATACATTTTATTTGCCATTACTAATCTACTCTCAGGGCAGAAGTCTGCATGAGGATCCTGTGGTCCCTAGTGGGTGAGTCATCTAAGGTTCCAGCTTTCAGGACCCTGCATGATGAGATGCAGTTTTCCAGCCCATCTGCACCACAGCCTACGTCACCCAGCCGGATATTTCCTGCCTCTTAAACATGGGTCATTTTTGCTATCTGTGCAGCTCCACCTGCTGAGGGGCAGGGCAGTGTTGTGCTTGCCTCTCGGCCAGGTCACCTGACTGCCCTGGATTGCAGCTTCAGGTACAAGATTCACCTGCTCAGAAATGCCCACTGCTTGCCTTTCCCTGTACACTCTTCCTCCTGATGCTCAGAATCTTCATGAGGCAAAGCTTGGGTGAAAGTTGCTTCATCAGGTCCAGATGCTGGGTGCTGAGAGGGGCTTGGGTTTCAAAGCTGTGCTGTGGAGTTAGCAGGCACAGGGCTGGGCTAGAATATGAGTTTAGGGATGCCTAGAGCATCAGCAAAAAGGGATTGTTTTAGTCACACGTTGGAAGTGGTTTCATAGGTTGAAGGCAGGGGAGATGCTCCTGGCTCGGCCATCACCAAGGGAAGACGGTAGGGGTGGAGGTGGTGGTGAGTGGATCTTCAGAGAAGAGCAGCTGTGGGGGCTTGTGGACTGACTGCAGCAGCAGAGGAGCCACAGAGGGAGGTTGACTCCTGTGAGGAACAGGAGGTGTTTGGCTGGGACATGGGGGCTGGAACTGAGATAAGGCTGGGAAGCCATATATCTGAGTGGGGAGCCCTCAGCTGATGCTTGCTTTAGGAAGTGTTGGGAGCCATTGAAAGCTTTTGAACAGGGGGATGAAGTGATGGGTGCTCCATTTTACCAAGATAAGGCTGGTTAGGTGGTAGGGTGAAGTGAGAGCCTCCTCCCTTTTGGAATTAAAGTCACTTAGAAGAGCTTCCAAGGCTGAGGTGCTGGAGGTTTGGGTGGAAAAGCACTTACAGCCTCACACCCATGGGTGTTGTCATCTTGTGGGTAGAAGCAGTAGGCTAAAGCAGCGGTCTTTGACGATAAAGAGTTGCAGTTGGGATGCTGAAGCATGCCTCTACCAACTTAGTTAGAAGATACATTAACTGCAGGATCCTGTTCTGTAGTGAAGTGGGTGTGACGTTTATTGAAGTAGGTGACTGAAGGACACTGGTTTTATGCAGAGGGCAGATTTTTGACTAAAGATTTTTGTATGTAATTCTCAACAATTCTCAGTCATCAGTCATCAGGGTCACTGACGGTGGGTGTATAGCAGTTCTTATTTACAGTTCTTTGAGTTGATGTTTCATGGTATGTAAAGTGCTAAAAGTGTGACTCCATTTTCAGTATTCAAGACCTGGAGAAAACAGGCCAGTTCCTTTGTATAATTCTCTTAGAGTTGGAATAATTTAAGAGATCAATTTTATATCCCATCATTGTAACTTTCTCCAGTTGATTTCCCTAATTATTAGACTAAGGAGTCGTTTTGACTCAGCCCACTCTCCCCAGATCTCTCCCTTCCTCCGTCCTTTTCTTTACACACGGGCTGTTCCTTCTTCCTGTCCCTCAGCAGCCCTGTTCCCCTGCAGGGCTCCTCTAGCTGTTCTGGTGTGCTTATACTGGGACATATTGTTAGGGGTGCTTTTATTCTTTGTATCGCAGCCAGACCATGAGCTTGAGAACAACGCTTCTGTGCCTCTCGTACCTAGTGTATACCTGCTCAACAGACATAACAAAATGGATATATAAATTGTGTGTGTTGTATGTAATTTAGAATGAACATAGGGTCTATTTTTGCGCAATACAATGAAAACTATTGTAATTAACTGCAAACAACTACCCTGTGAGGGAGATTGATGCGTTGTCACACCCTGGCCCACGTTGTACGAGAAACGAGAGGTTACGTAACCAACCCAAATCACACTGGAATTGGTTGGCTGCGCTCTTGGTCAGTACTTGGCTTAGTGTGCAGCACGTGAAGAGAATGACCCCAAATAAACAAGTGATGCATCTCAAGGTCCAAGAAAGACAAGAGCCATCCAAATCTGAAACTAATGGAAGAAAAGACATGTTAAAGATCAGAGCAAAAACTAATGAAATTGAGACTCAACATACTAAGGGTCCATGCATCGAATCATCGGTTCTTTGAAAGGTAGAGGGTTTCTGAGGATGGGAGAGATGAGAGGGAGAGGAGGGGGAGGGTAAAGATCGAGATGTGTGTGTATGCCAGTCCCCCACAGTCAGTGTATTTACTCGGTGTCACAAAAATATACTTAAAAAATTGAGAGAAAAGTAGGCATGCAGTCTTCCCAGGTTTATTTTGGTTAGAATTTGTAGGGTGGGTAACTGAGTTGTGATGGATTTGGCGTGGGTGTAGTTCAGGCAGCTGAGGCCTGCACGGCAGGGGACCCGATGAGGTGGTGGCCACAGTGGTGGCGTTCAGTACCTTGGATGACCACCAGCGCAGACGGGTGGCACTGAGATGCGGCTGTGCCTTCCATGCCCAGCTGCAGAGTGTGGCCCGGAGCAGAATGTGGGCTTCCCAGGTCCATGGAGAGGGGAGGTTTGCGATTGAGGCAGGGGTTCATGAATTCCATTTGGCGGAAGGCAGGGAATTTCCTGCAGGGGAGGCGATGCGCAGTAACAGGGCCCGTCCAGAAGGTTGATAGGAACCAGAGTTCAGTCTGGGAACTGGATCTGTGCCTGTGTATACCCGAGGGAATCAGCCAGCAGAGCTCTGTCACTGTGCCCGGGTGTGGCCGCACCCTGCCCTGCGTAGCCTAGCAGGTGGTGGCATGTGTGGGAGGCCTGGGCCAGGGCCGGGAGCCAGGGACCCAGCTGTGTGCCTGGCCCTGCTGCCCAGTGTCCAGAGCGTAAAAGCGGTTCGTTGCAAGGCAGGTTTCCGCCCCTCTGCGCTCTGCCTGTGACAATGTTGAGTCACACTTCTGGAGCTCCGAGATGGGACAGGTGGGCCTTCGTATACCCTTAGACCACTCACATTCAGGTCAGTGATGGAGCTTCAGAAGGAGACTAAATTGATGGGAAGTTTCAAAGAGGATAATTTTGCATGCATGTTTTTGAGAACCAATTCATGTCGCTCCCTGTGCATTGGGGATTGAACTCAGAGGTTTTGCAGTGAGCTACATCTCCAAGTCCTTTTTTGAGACAGGGTCTTCCTTAGTGCTATATTGGTCAAGCTGGATTTGAACTTGGGATCCTTGTGCCTCAGCCTTCCACAGAGCTGGGATTATAACTATGTACCACTGTGCCCAGCACAAATTCATGCTTTTTACAGAGACTGGAATCTTATCACCTAACATTTTGTGTGTTCATTTTAAAAGCATCTAACGTATTTGAAAATCACACTAGGTACAGTCATCTTCTGCTTTTAAAAATACAAACAATGTTTTCTTGTGACACACACACACACACACACACACACACACACACATTTTTGCAGTGCTGGGAACTGAACCCAGAGTCTCTAGCGTGCTAAGCAAGTGCTGTATCACTGAGCTTCACCTACCCTGGCCCCTTCTTGTATTAATATTATTTCACACATCTTTAATGGCTTACGTTATATTTGTGTGGATATAGTGGTATGTTTATATAACTTTTCTGTTATTCAGTTTGTTTTTCATAAAAATACACCTTCTTTACATGTAAATACTTATGTAAATATCTGATTTTATCTTTAGATTCCCAAAGAGAAATTATTGAGTCAAAAGAACACACTTTATTCATATTGGCCACATTGCTTTTTTTTTTTGTTCGTGGTCACTAGGTTTTATTGTTTCAGAAAAGGCATAATGACTAAAGAAGAGCACTAATTGCCTACACTTTCTTTTTTATTTTTATTTTTATTTTTTAATTTTATTTTATTTTTCACGTTGCTTCTTAGAAAGGCTGTAATGTAGCTGGGTGTAGCGATGTCTGACTGTAATCCCAGCGCTCTGAGAGGCTGAGGCAGTAAGTTCAAAACCTGCTTGGGCAATTTAGCAAGACTTAGTCTCAAAATAGAAAATAAAAAGGGCTGAGATTGTACTTCAGTGTGAAAGCCCTAGGTTCAAGCCCTAATACCAATGGGGGGGGGAAGAGATTGTTACAGCCTTACCCACATACCCACATTTTATGAAAGTATAGCCTGCCTTCTACCATTATCTGATTGATAGTATAATATAAAATTTTTTGCTCCATTTTGTTCAGAAATTGTAAGTCTCCTGTTGCCCTGCATTTGTTGGAGCTTCCCAAAGGGAGAGTGTCCCACTGCAGCCGTTGCATCTGCTGGGCTTTGGGACTGTAACAGAAACAGGGTGACAACATTTGTCCACCGAAACACAAAGCCCTCCATGCTACTTTCTATGAAACTTCTGCTCATGTGTTGACAAAAAGCCATTTTGCAAGTGGCTTCTCCTTAGCTTCGTTCATGAGGTACAATGAGAAACTCATGGAGTCTGCGTCCTCCCAGGCCACTGCGGGGTCCTGGAGCACCATGCAGGGCTGTCTGGTCACTTATGTGCCTCCCTGTCCCCTGCTCTGGATACACCTTTCAGAAGAACCTGGTTGGGTAAGTGAAGGGGCGGTGCTTACCATTGCTGTGCTGGGAAGGCGGCAGCCCCTCTGCCTCATCCATCTTGTGCTCTTGGTTTTTTTCTTTCGTGTGCTTCTTCCTAGCAGAAGTTGTTCTGCACGTTTGATTCCCTCCCGTTGCCCTGGCACCCTCGCTCATCAGGAGGACTGTTGGCTTCCTGGTCCACGCCCAGTTCCCAGAGTCTGCTGACAGGGTGTTCATTGAGCAAAACCCAGGGGTGTCCGTTGTCAGTGGAGAGAGTTGCAGGTGTCTTCCTATGTCCAGTTGTGCCCTCTGGCCCCTTCTGTGTTGACTCTGTGGTGGGTCCCATGTCCTGCTGCTTCCTACTGAGGCATGTACTGTCCTCCTCAGTTCCCCACATACCTCCTTTCACACCTGAGGAGATGTTGAATCTCTTGGACCGGACTGCATTGCAGATCTCCTGCACAGACCCTTCCCGGATATCCTGGCGGGCCCCAGTGCTTTTCAGAGCTTTGAAAGTCATTGTTAATCATCTTACTCATGCCGTGCAGCGCATTCTTACAGCACAGCCTTGGGCAGGTGTCCCTGGGACTCTAGGACCCTTCGGGTTGGGAGCTGGTCTCTTAACCACAGTCTCCCTCCGGTGCCTTATGCAGAGGTGTCTGAAACCCACTGAATCTTTCAGAGGCCTTTGTTTCCCATGCTCTTGGTTTTTCCCTTCTGACAATTTTTACAGCATCTGTCATCTTATGACATATGTTTTCCCAATTAAATATTTAAAATTGAGTTGATAGGATGTGTACTGTACCTGGACTGTGGTTTTTCCATTAACTTTTGCTCCAGAAGTTTCTAATCAGCTTTCAGGCTGGTGGGAAATGCAGGTAATTGTTTCCTAATTAGGAGTCAGATTTGACACTTCCTCTTGAAATGCTTTGCTGTCTGGGATATGGAGCAGATGGTCGCTTATGGCAGAGCAGATGTCTGTGTTGAATCAGAGCATTTTAAATCTGCTGTTGTACACTGAAGTGTTTCCCTTGGCAAATACCCACTTCTGACCTGCCTGTTATAGCTCTGGGTAGCTTTCTTCAAATACAAGGCTACAAAGATGCTTATAAAGAAATCTAATAAAACATGACTAATGCGACATCATTCTGCCTTGGTGAACTCACAGTGCTTTATTCTGTTGAAGGCACAAAGTCTTGCTTGACTAGGTAACTGTGATTTGTTAACAAACACACACTTAACATGAACTAATTATTGATTCATGACTTAAAAAAAAGTCACCTTAGTTGATGATAGTTTGATTCTTCCAGTTGTCTCTTGAGGTGTCGGTGGAGTAGCTCTGAGCTCAGGCTGTGTGTGGGTGACAGCCTAGGTCTGAAATTCAGCTCTGGTGGCTGAAACTTGGGTAACCTTTAGGTGAGTAACCTTGCAGTACCTCAGTTTCCTCCCCTGCTGTGAGTGTGTGGGGGTGGGTGGGGCAGTACTTATTTTTAGGGTGAAGTGAAAATTCCATGAATTAGTAGACACAGTGCTGAGAATGCTTCCTGGCCCGTAATCATGCCAGAAATGTTAGCTGCTTTAATTAATATTGTTAATGTATATTCTTCCTCTTCCTCTGAGAAATAAGGGCTCCCACTTTTTTTATTTTTGGAGAGGGTCTTGCTATGTACCCTAGGCTGGCCTTGAAGTATGTACCCCAGGCTGGCTTGAACTATGTAGCCCAGGCTGGCCTTCAACTCACAGCAGCCCTCCTGCCTCAGCCTCCTGGGCTCTGGGATTATAGGTATGCACCACCACGCCTGGCTAGAGTTCTCACTTCCCAAAAAATCCAGATCTTAAGGTGTGCTTTCCCCACACCTGTGCATGATTTACCTGGTTTGCCTTTTTCTCCCTTCTCAGGTGCTCGCGGCCAGCTTTTACCAGGGCTGTAGATATTGTCAGTATTGCGACAATATTTTTTTTAGACTTAAGCTTGCAGTTTGTTTTTTAAAATGTTTTGTGGTACTGTGGATTGAACCTGGGCCTTGTGCATGCCAGGCAAGTGCTGCAGGACTGGCTTCATTCATCCCAGCCTTTTTTGTTTTGAGACCGAGTCTCTCTTAAGGTCCAGGCTGACTTCAAACTTTCTATCCTCTTGCCTTGGCCTCCTGAGTAGCTGGGAATGCAGGTGTGTGCCACTGTGCCCAGCCTGAGCTTTTGCTCATGTTCTTGGTTGCCAATGAGAAACATTGGGTGAGAAAGCCAGTGCCTTGAATTTTGGCAGGGAGGTAGTTGTGTTTTTCCTTGGTTCTATGTATCCTCCATGTCCCCTTCCTCTTTAGTGCTGAGAGTAGAACCCAAGGCCTTTCACGCACCAGGCAAGCCCTCCACTGAGCTACACCCTGTGCCCTCAATGCCATGTGTTCTTTTAGCATGTCTAGTACCAAAGGTCGGGGAGACCCCTCAAGCCTAAGAATTGGTACATGTATACTTTGCAGGGGAGGGTGATTCTCAGAGCCAGGAGACCTAAGCTGGCTCTTCCACACTTGTCGGCTGAGTGGTTGGAGGGTGAAGTGCATTCGATCATGGCCAGTGCAGGGTATTTATGAACTAAGTGAGTTTTCATCTCCTCACTCTGACCAGCCCTGTGTGCTGGCTCATGTAAAACCTGAGCCGGCATGGCCCTTGTCCTGAAGCCTCGTCTCAGCAGCGTTCAAAGCCAGGACCAGAGGGGAGCCAGTTCTCTCCCAGCCTCAGTGTCGCTTCGTGCTCTGCCCTCAACACACAGCATGCCTTTTTGGAATAACTTTTCGCTACGGAAGTGATCAAATGTAAGAAACCAGAGGATAGAGTAAGGAGCACACAGTCACCTGCCCCTCTGCATCAACAGCTGCAGATACAGACGGGTGCCAACCTTGTTTGATCTCTAGCTCTCCTCTCCACCCCTGCTGGAGTATTTCAAAGTAAATACCCCAAATACGTCATTTTTCTCTGTATATTTGAAGAGTCTCACGCTCTACCCACTGAGCTAGCTGGACACTTTTCTCTGTATATTTTGATGTTGTTATTATTTTGCTCTGCTGGGGATGAACCAGGGCCTCGTGCCTGCTGGGGGAGCGCTGTACTGCTGAGGCACATCTCAGCCCTCTGGCCACTGTTGCTTGGGGAGACTGTATTCAGAGAAGTAGATCTTTTGGCGGCAACACATGCTGCAGTTGTGCATTAGGGGATCTTGTAAGTAATGGCCAGTGTAGATCCAGATGGCCTTCTTTCCGGTGCTTCAACTGAATCCTGAATGTTTGTCTCCTGAAGGCCTTGCAAACAGAGCCCTGTTGATGAAGACATTTCTATTGGGTTTCTTTGGAAATTGAAATCTGTGTGGTATAGGTTAATGTCTGGGGCAACTCACATCTTTTCTAGCCACTGACAGTGACATTCTGTCTCTTACTCCTTAGGGAGGCCGAGTGGAGGGGCCGTGCCCCCTTACCCTAGGCTGTGCAAATTCCATTTTCTTCATGTGCTATGGAATGAAAGGCATGGGAACGAAAGCCTAGTTATTGCTGATGATCACATGAACTGAAAGTGAGAATGCAGCAAGAGTAGTCCATTGGTGTACAATATTTGGATTCTGTAAATGTGTGGCTAGGAGGGGACAAAGTCCGTGGAACCCTGGAAAAAAAAGTTCTGTTTGAAAGTTAGAGTCTGGAATTAGTTCTCCATAGTAAATATGGTGGCAGAGGAGCACACAGTCTTAGAGCACCCAGGTGGCCTTTGGCGAGACAGCCTTAGTTCTTAGTTTGTAGAGGGTGTGTGGATTCGGAGTAGGCTGTGAATGAGTTGAAGATTGCTTTGACCTTTAGTGGTAGAGGTTCTCAATACTGTGTGACTCCACATTTCTCTTTTCTTTCTACTTTTAATTTTGAAATTATTACAGATTCATAGAAAGTTGCTATGATTGTATAATAGTGAACCTTGCCCCCTCCCATCTTCCCCCAGGGATCCCAGAAGCGGGGTGGCAGACCGATGGTGTGGGACAGGCTCTTCCAAAAGGGCACCAGCTCTTTGAACAGCCTGGGCTGTCTTCTTTCATTTTGCATGCTAACCACATTTCTGAAATATTGAGCATGATTACAACTGGGCAAGAATACTTTGTGTCCCTCTGCTTGCAGTCCAGAAAATTATACACAAGCTACTCACTTAAGAGTCTGGTGGGACCGTGTGACTTTTGGAAATTGAAGACTGTGCCTTCCTCCTGGGTGACTGTTCCATTGCAGAATGACCAGCATTCCCTAACCTTTGCCACTAAATGCCAACTGTGCCTTCCAGTCCTGTGACAGCAGAACTTCTGGAATGTCTGCTGGGGAGTGCCCCACTGCTTTGGGAGCTGTTAAGAGGGGGGATGATTGTGATTTCTGATGGAATCCCTTCTCTTGCCCGGCCGCTAGAGAGAAAACCCTCAGTGCGCAGAGTATTCATTTGAACTTACTTCTTATTCTTAGAACTGTAGTATACTCTGGGTATATATCATATTTGCAAAGTAACAATCCAATGTTTGAGGGCTTTGGTGATTGCTTCATCTAAGAACTTTGGAAATCATCTTTATGGCTTGTGTCTTCTGCAAGTGCAGAACCCCACAGAGTTTTTGTCAAATATGTAACATCCTGTAGATAAAATGAATATTTAAAAAAGTACAATGTAGCAGGCATGGTGGCACTAATCTGTAATTCAGCATTTGGGAGATTGAGACAGGAGAATCTTGAATTAAAGTATAGCCTAAGTGGGCGTGGTGGGGCACACCTGTAATCCTAGCACTCGGGAGGCTGAGGCAGGAGGATCATTGTGAGTTTGAGACCAGCCTGGGCTACTAAGTGAGCCCAAGGCCAGCCTGAACTGGATAGAGAGACTCTGTCTCAAAAAAGACAAAAAAAAAAAAAAATATAGCTTAGGCTACACAATATGTTCAGGGGTGGCCTGGGCTATATAGCAAGAGCCCTATCTCAGGGGGAAAATGTTTATTAAATAGATTGATAAGTGCTCTTGTTCTAGGGCTTTTGGACATGAATCTGTTATAGGGGTGAACTGAGTGACTGCCAAGGTTGGAAACCGTATTAGGAGGTTCTATTTTTATGGTTTGCTTTTTATAAAAACAAAC